AAGAGAAAAAAAGAGAGAGAGAATGACATGCTTTGATAGTTACTAATAATTGTTCTTATTTTGATACGCTTTATTTCTGAATGTTATCTTTAAAATTCAAACAAACAAATAAGTTCATAATTGGTACTTTATGTTTCATTTTACTGTAGCTAAAAAATCATATTAAAAAAAGATAAACTAAACAACTTATAGTGAAGATTAGATATAAAATATAACAACTATAAGATTCCATATTTTAATATTCATATTAAATATAGATTGTTACATTACTATAAGAACTGAAAGCAAACCGCAAAAGGTTTCTAAGTAACGAATGGCATCTAATGGTAACAGATATAATACATTTCAAATTATTTCCCTGAAACCGAATATGAGATTTGCATCCCAACAACATTAAGATCAAAACGCTGTGAATTGTTTAGCCATCCCAATAATTTTAAAATCGAACTGTTCTCATAAAACTCATAGAAAGTAGAACGTCATAAAATGATCCAGAATAAATGTGTAAATTTTTCCAAATAACTGCCACACTCATAAAAGAAATGCAAACCAAAAGGTCCTCATGAGGAAGCCAGTACTTTTGGTTTGAGAAAAATATTTTTGCTCAGATGACTCAACTCTGACACAACACAAGGTCTTTGGGTTAATGTCATAGCTTACCAGGATGTCTTGCCCAATCCAAGAATATGATGCATTTCGATTAGCAGCCCAGAATATGGCAAATGCCAGACATCCTATCAAGACAACTAAAGAGAGAATGGAAACCTCCCCTAGAAGAGGCAAATTCAAGGTCTTCCGTTCACAATTTTTGCATTTACTGAAACAAAAAAGAAAAGAAAACAAATGGATGAAAGTAAGCAAAAAAAGAAGAAAAAGAAAAGAGAGAGAGAGAGAGAAAGAGAGAGAGAGAGAGAGAGAGAGAGAGAGAGAGAGAGAGAGAGAGAGAGAATATAGTAGAGTGGCAAACCGGTAAAGACATGACAACAATGTACAGAATCTAAACATTATCAAATAATTCATTTCACAAAAGTAACCATCGTACCTTGTCACCAGTGAAACAATACAATTATGCATTCCCTGGTAATGAGAAAAAATGAATAAGTCTCGAGTATAAATTTTCCTGTGTTCTACATCAGAAAATGAGATAACTGTCGAGAGAAAAATTATAAATCCAACTGCTGCAGGAACAATGACCAATATGACTATCAATGCGCACATTCCAAGCAATAAGGTACATACGAAAAAAGTGACTTTAGAGTTTCACTGATATCCACATTTTCTATAAATCATGAACTATATTTCCTAAAGTCATCTGATGGAAAAACTGAGGTAAAAAAATTATCGGACTAAGGCAAGAGTGGGAAAGTAAAGATCAAGACAAAATATCACACAAGAACAAGTATTGGAAAACAAGATCTGAGATTATAAATCACTATGCGGCTGTTAGAAAGCAAAAAGCACAAAGGCAAAAACATATTTATAGGACTAGGATAAGGATGGGTCTTGAGGTAATGCCAAAGGCACAAAATATCACATAAAAAAATATAGTGGAGGATGAGGTCAAGTGTAGGAGAACATGGTGTAGCAATATGCTTCTCAGCATCTCATGATGCAAGAAGAGACTTCTAAATGTTGCCAAAAAAACACATAATCAAGGTCAAAGACCGAGAATTTGCTTCAATATAATTACAATAATCACGCGAGAGGATTACTTTACCATCTATGTTAAACATGGAGACTATATATACTGTTGCAAATTTAGCTTTTTTAATAACTATAGTCTAGACAGACTTGTCATTGACTTTGTTCAACTTTATCAAGCCCATCTGTACCACACTAATGCTTTCACTTTGGCAAGGTGAATAGGTCATGCAACCAATCAACCAGTCCCAAAAGGACTGTCGCTGCAGAAAGAATCTAAAATTTCATCAAATTTTTCATCTTTTGCTCACATTACAATATCTGAAAATGGATGTTATCACGAAAAAAGTATTGAACTATATGCATTATTATGACTAATTTATGTGCACGGAAGACTAACTCAGATAGCTAAACAGTCTAGAGTTGGGGAGTAGGCCAAGAAGCTTACTACTTGTATCTTTAGAAGCAAAACATGACGTGCAATGGTAAAATACTTGAAATATAGGAGTCGGAAGTTAATAGAGAGATTAATAGTTTTATCCTGCTTTATGTAAAGTAAATGAAATATATAGGAGTCGGAAGTTCTAAATCTACAGGATTTAATGACTTCCAAACGCAGCTTCTCCAATTACCAAATTAAGCAGATGAACTTCTCAAGCCTTGGTCTCAGAATATGAGTTCAACAAAGTATTTTCTCAAGTAAGCTCCACGCATCACTCTTATTTGTGCACAACAGGACAAGAAAAAATGATAGGCATGTGGCAAGAAAATCTTTTGGAAGATAATAACACATAGGGCTGGCAAATTTAATCGGAAAAGCGAGGCAACTCAATTATATTGTGGAAATGTACATAAGATAACCAAACTAAAAGCAGTTCAGATTTGGTTTCAAATATTTGGTGATTCAGTAGTACCGAACGGCACTGATCGATGCATAGTACCAAATGGCACCTGTCTTTTAAAATTAGTTAATTCATTTGACTTTCATGGGTCCAAGCAAACTACAAACAACCCCATATCTGATTTTAAATGTTCCAAATTGCAACTTGGTATTTTCAGTATTGCTGAAAATAATTAATATAGAACCAATTTTTTAGTTACCAACTGAAAATCTGCAGTTTGAGTTTATGGTATTACCGAATTCTACGGTTTAGTTCAGTATATGGTGTTTCGGCTTGGTTACCGCACCGTATCCACTAGTCACGACACCAGTACTAAAACAAAGAGCATGACAAAGTACCAAGACCATTAAATATTATACCAATTACCCCCAAACAGTTCCCATATTAGAATCCATGTTCTCATTGCCGCCTTATTTTGCTAGTTGCAGAATTATTTATTTTTTTTATTTGGTTACATTTATGGATTGAAGATGACACCAGTGACGCATATATCCTGGCCATTCAAAACACAAAAAGCAGCAGTCAATTTTTTACTTAAAAAATATGGATTGAATATTGGAAAAAATGGATATTTTAAACAACCAATCAATGCAGGACTTAAAATTAAACAACATAGTCGAAAGCATGCATCACTGGCCTCAACTCGTGAAATTCTCACTCATGAGGGAAAAGGTTTGTTAAATGCTTCAATCTTTTTAGTTTACTTTGCTGATGTGCACAGTTGAAAGGCTTCCAATCATCAGTATGAGGTGAATGTAATCCAGTCTACATGATCCTGTAGCTTATTATTTATGCTTATACTCAACTATATGATCAGAAAGAACCTCTAAGTGAACAAAAGTGAATGGAAATATTTACCTCAATGCCTCCAATGCAGAAAAGCACAATCAACACCCAGACAAACCATGACGACATAAAGAAGTAAAGAAGCAGCAGAAAAGTTGACGCCGTTATAACAAAAACTACAGCACTTTTCGTGCTAATATGGAGGATTTCCTTCTCTTCCTCTTGCCTGGCTGCTGCAGCATCAGATTCCTAATTCGAAAAACAAGAAAATAAAAAAAAAAATAAAAAAAAGGCAGTTAATGTCATATTTGTCAAGGAAAAACTAAATTAACCCATAACACCTGAGCAGAACTATTATATATGAGAAACCAAAACAACCATATAACAAAAAACTAGAAGAGGCCTTTTCTAAATCTTAAAACATGTAAAGTATATGTAGTCATTTATGTTACTGTAGCATGACACTTCATCTAAAGCTAAAGCAGAAACTAAAAGCAGCAATCGCACAACGAACTCACTAACTGTGAGCACTGAAAAAATAATTATTTCATGTAAATTTGATCGCACGAAAACCTAAAAACTATTTCTGCTATTCATGGAACCTTGGGTGATAATTCATTATAGCGCTCATCACTTTGCTCTGATCCAGTGATCTCTGACCAAAGTGAAGCCATAACAACTGTTCCAACAGACATCATCCACAAGAATATCACCGAGTAATCTAAAATTGGTCGTTCAGGTGAGTACAACAGAAGTTCCACTGCATAAGAAACAATAGAAGTTAGCACTCTTGACAAAAAAAAAAGAAGAAGAAGAAGAAGAACAGTCAACAAAGGTACATATACACCATAAAAGTCAACAAAGGAAGCCAATGAATCTGTAAAAATCTACTACAAAACACAAAGCTTTGAGATTAGGTTGCAACATAAAGTAGTAAACAATCTCACAGATATATACTTTAGGCCATTATGTAGGAAATTGATGGAAGTACTTCTCGCAAAGGATTCCGTTTTCCTTATTTCTGCTAAACATGACAACCATAATCTGTCGAAAATAGGTGTCATATGTCACTACCTTCATAGCATAGATTCATGCAATGTTGTGTAACAAGTCAACATGCGGCTCGAATCATAAAATGCTGTTTTCTTTTAAGGTAGATATTTGAAGACCTCATTCACTTTCTTCGTGGGTAAGATGAAGAGAGCAAGTGAGAGTCAGATAAACCTATTCCAAAAGAGAAACATATTCCGAGAAAGATAGCAATGGGTAAAGGCTAAAGGGCAGTCGACTTCATTGTCCTTCATACCAACAAATTTCCATGTTACTGCATAAAGTCATAGATAGGTTTTACAGTGAAAGCTAAATATGAAGCTGGAATCACAAAAGACACCAAAAACAAAATGAAATGAAATGAAAAACAACAAGAAATCCAACAAACTGCTTAGAGAAAGATAAAATAACTAAAAGAACAGTGAAACTAGTGCAGCAGACTTCAATTACTCTCAGACTAAGATCAGCATAAGTCATAATATTCTCTCCCGCAAAAACCATTTTCAATAAATATCATGAATGGGATTCACCTTTTTCTCCACCATCAATGGATTTCTTTAGTTCCACTCCTCCCGACTTAGAAATTGTAATCACGGGAATAGTAATATTCAAACTAGTATCATTCCCACAACCCATCTGCACAAAACCTATAAGAGTACATGCAACAAGAAACAAAAGTGAAACTGCCCAAAGCATACCACATATTAAACAGTGAAAAGATATGTATGATAGGCCTAAGGGATGAAGCTACCTTCATCATCATTCAGCATCACCATTCCTGCTGCTCCTGCTGCTTGCGCAACTTTCGCTTTAGTGGTAAATTCACAATCACCACGTACAACTAAAGAAATGGAACCTACCAGCTACAAGAGAATAATAGAGACTTTCTCATTCAGGGAATATAACAGGCTAGAAAACAAGAACCACTTTGGATAAACATTCAGAGATTAAACGTCCAAGAGTGAACCCTATTTTAAGCTTCAGGAATCAGACACTTCACTATATCTAGATCATCATTATACTGAAGATAGCATATTCAAAGAAGCTTTGGATCCAATATCTTATAAGGAAAAAAGGTTGGGTGTTTACGACAAAACATTATAGGCTTATGAGTTATGATCAGTACAACAACATATCTTACTTTTTGAACTTGCTAGAAAGGGGTTCAGGTTCTACGCTGGACAAGAAGAGATGGATCAAACTATCATCATTGTCATTTCCAACCATGATTGATGGAAGGCATAGGGGAAAGATCAAGAAGATCATGGTCTCAGTGAGAAGGCCCACAAGCACCTCTCCTCTTTACTTCAGTGGTAGATGCGTTGTTGATAAACAAAGTAAAATATGTTTCTATCATTAAGAGTTTCACTATAGATAAAGATAGAATTGAAATTTCTCATATTCAAAATGTAGACTATGCACTTCATTAGTTAATAATGAATGTCAATTAGAGGGTAGTCTAACAGATTAAGATGTTTGTGATATATAAAGACGAAAAGTCATTTCGGTAAAAAGTGTGCTTTTAGGTATTAATCTGGAAAAGAATAATGCTAGAAAGATTGTTAATGTGGTCAGACGCCACTTTAGTATTAAGGGCCAGCTCTCCAGGGTAAATGACGTAGCGAAAGCATACACGATTGGAGAATCAAGAGAAAACTCTCAATATATTTTATTCAATCAAAATCAACTCTCTCCAAACAATAGAAGGGGAGTCTTTAAATAGAACCCCTAACCCTAAGTAAAAAACTCTAATAAAATAAATAAGTTTCCTAACAAATCTAAGATGCCCTTAATAAATATTCAAACAAAGGAAATAAATAATTAACCCAATGATGCTCAACGATCATGCTTGTCCAAAAAGGTCAACGCAATCTCGTCTCCATAAGTAAATTATTCAAAATTATTAATCCAGTAAGTTGTGTCAAGTTCACTATTCATGGTATGTGGCCTTATGGCCTAGGAGATAAAAGGCGAAGGCCTATCCATGCAAAGTGACAATAACATGAAAATTCATGTTATATTATTCTAAAAATCAAATATAAGAAATTATAGTCTACGGAACACCAATATCAGTCATCAGACAGCATGAATACAGCATGAATACAGGTCAAACAGTCAACAATTTACATAAAATAACATTATAATTAAACATCCAGGTGGCCTCTTCAGATTATTACGTGACCCTCAAGGCGCACAGAGCTTATAATTCATGACATGTGCACTAAGCATGGCTTTATTATTACGTGACCCTCAAGGCGCACAGAGCTTAGAATTCATGACATGTGCACTAGGCATGGCTTTAAGCACGTAGTTTCACTTGGTCAAATAATTTTTTTGTAACATAAAGTCTATATATATATATATATATATCACTGAAAACAAAATTAAAAGTTGAACTATCCACTATGCCTCATAACATAAACAAATCTCCTCCGCTATGATTAACAACCACTCTTGCTGCAAGTCAGAAGTCGCCTCCTGGCCAAAGGCCATTGTTTCTCCCCACTTCTAGTTGCCAGCCAGTTTTATTAATGTAGGTTCTATTGCTAACTTAATGTAATATAATGAGAAACTTCATCAGATGTGATGTTGGAGTTTAATGAAACTTTATGGGGAATGTCTCAGGGGGGTTGCATGTGAACTGATGCTGATGGTGCAGTCGAGGCCAAAAGATAGCATACCAAATAACATAGGTGTCGGTCTATTTTAACACTAACATTATACAAGAAGAAATTGTGTCAAATGGAGGTTCTAAAATTGTAAAAATGTGATGAACTTTTATGAGGGCCACAAAGTGGCAAAGCTGCTGCAGATGGTGGATTTCATACTGAATGTAGTTATTTTCATACTTAAAAAAAGGTTTTTAATAGTTTTCAAATATTTGTTAATTCTTTCACCAAGAAGTTATCAAAGAACCAGTAAGTCCCTGGATTAAAGGGAAATTAAAGAATTTGGTTGAAGTATACTGTATATGAAAAGGAGACTTGTCTCACGAACAAAGCCTTGTTACGAAAATGTTGGTGGAGGTTTAATAATGGGCTTGGTTGCTTTGTGGAGTGGGCAATCCCTTACATAAATTTTGTTCTATCCGTGGTCTTAGTCTTTTTCACACATGTTAAGAAAAATAGTTATTGATGTTTTTATTGGCTCTTCAATGATATGACATAATATAAAATTCATTGCTAGTGGGAAAAGAAAAATAAATTGATTAATGTTAATACATCCATTATTCAAGGAAATATGCAATTAGTGTGTCTTCTTTTTCAAAAAGTGACAAATAAAATCAATCATTTTTTTTTCCTTTTGAAATATGACCAATAGAACGGAACAGAGGGAGTAGCATATACAACAAACTCCTAATGGCATGATTGGTATGAGGGAATGACATGAGAATGGAATGATCATTCCCTACCTCATTCTTTATCTCATGATTGGTATATTTTTTTTCTTTTTTTTTTTTTTGAAAAGAATGACCATTCCAAAAGGAATCACAAAAACTCATCTACATGGGATTAGTCATTTTATAGCTAATGCAAGGTTTTATCATTCTCATATTTGTAGGAATCAATTTTTAAACAAATAATAATAAAAAATAAATATATAATATATACTATTACATTATATTAAATAAAATTATTGTACAAAATATATTTCAAATAATAAATATAAAAATTTATTATTATTTATTGTTCACATTTTAATTAGATAATTTAAATATAAATCATCAACATCAACATCAACATACCCAGTATATTCCCAACTCAGTATATTCCCAACTGGTTAGGGTCTGCGATAATTTAAATATAAATATTTATATAAAAATAAAACTAAAAAAATGCATTTATAAATAATTTAAAAATATATTATTTTATTTTTATACATCGTATATATTATATATTTTTTCATAAATTGAATTATTATATAAAAGATTATATTCGACCACATATGCTTATAGGGGTTTATGTAATGATATATTTGTATTGGTTAATATGTATATGAATACACAATTCACTAATTTATTATATAAAATATATCAGAGTAACAATACAAAGATGTATGTGTTAAAATATAGTATGTTTTTTTTACAAAAAAATAATTTATTATTATCATAAATAAAAAAAAGTAACATTAATATAAATATTATTTTTTTTCTACAAAATAGTGATAAATGATAATGTCATTCTATTCAGTCTTATTCCTTCTACATACCAAACATCAATGGAAAAATTTGTTCATTCCTTTCTTATATTCATTTCATTTTTCAACTCATTCCATTCCTATCAAATTTCATTCCATTATATCAATCATGCCATAAGACCTTTGGAATTTATTTTTTCTTGCACGCATATGTAGTTCGTGAGCGCAATAGGGACATGTTATGGGAAGATATGTGATCTTGGGAGTCTTCTTTCTCAAAATAACATCTTTCATAATAACATATCTTTAATACATAAACCAAGTACTCATTTGACCAATTTCCTGTTCTTAACCAATCCAATGATGGAGAATCACTTTCTAGGAAACTTAATTTCTGGAGTTATTTACTAGAGTAAAGCATCAATAAGTTGAGCACTAAACCAGGATAGATAGGTAATTTTGATATGCATTGGGTGTTTTCCATGTAAAATGCTGTAAATTCCTTTCCTTACATTTTTTCTCCCTCGTTTTCTCGACTTTGAAATAATTTAAAAAGTAACAGTATGCCAAAACGCTACATTGTTTTTGTCAATGGTAATACCTGCTTGTACAAAATATGTTTGTCCTTTTTTTCTTTAGAATCAGTATAAACTGTGAAGACATGACTCTAAGACTCAAATTCATCTGCATTGCTCATTTACGATGCAACCATGGTTCAAGTTCAACCAATTTTGGTTTGCGCTGGGTGATCCCTCAACCATCAATATGTAGAGCTCTTCATGAGTGGTTTAGCATGGTATGTGGGATGCAAGGGAATAATCTAATCGAGAGATTTTGTTGACAACTTTGCAATATGTCATGGTTGGAAGAAGCAACAAGATGTCAAACTGTAGAGAAGAGGACGCTACAAAATTTGGGGGCAAAGTTCACAGGACATCCTTCATCCTTGTTATACACCTATTTAACGAGATTAGGTTTCACTTTTGAAAGAATTCATATTGGAAACAGAGAAAATAAGGGCATGATGGTAACAATAGGTATTTTGTTGATTTTACAATATAATGAAATACATATTCTGGTCAGTCAAAAAGCTATTAGTTTAGGTAATCATATGCTACAAGCCTACCAGAGTTCATCCGTCTGTCATCTTTACCTTTTCCTTGTACATGAATCTACAGAGGTTATTTTCACTTCGTGCATTAGTTATTTCATCACGTTTTGCTTAAACAGCGACCATCAAAGCCAGTTCATATGTATAAAGAACTCAAGAACAGGCATAACTTAGCCTGGGATAAAAATCAACATCAAGCTTTGCAATTAAAGTAGCCACCAATTGTCAATCGGATGATTATGCCTGCTTGCTGATGATAATAGAGTACTTGATGAACGTAAAATCCTAATAAGCATATCATGTATAAAAATAAAAAGAGTGTGCTTGACATGTCAGAAAAGTACCCTAGATGAAGAGGAGGAACAGCCATTTAAGGGTTCTGAAAATAGAGCTGGCAATCTGTGACCTTTTTTAGCATCAGCAGGCAATATAGAGCCAAAATCAGCTGTTAACCCACCTATTGCCTCCTTCTCAATGCCATTTATCCACCTCTTGACCTTAACCTGAAAAAAAAAAAAAAA